AGGTCATATATCTACAATATTCAGAAATGTCGCCAACTTCTCTGGGCTTGAGCTCGTCTGAAATAGACTGGTACTGAGTGGAAACGTGTATTGTGGTCTGACGAGTCCACCTTTCTAGTTGTTTATGGGAATAATGGATGTAGTGTTCTCCCAGCCAGAGAAGTAAACAAACTTCTAGAAATTCAAAATCCAGCTTCTGTCAGGGGGCATGGGGGGTTTTGGTTGGCAGCTTGCACATCTTATATACATACACATTTTGAAGCAACATATGCAGCCTTCCAGACAATGTCTTTTTCAGAAATGTCCAAGGTGCAAAATGCAGGGGGTTCTGGGGCATCCAGGACCCCCTAATTAACCACATGGACCCCCTGAATGTCTCAAAATCAAAATTCTGGGGCGACCCTGAAAATAAACTTATTATGACAGACACTCAATTCAGCTCATTGTTTAGCTGCTTCGCCCACAATCAGCTTTTGTCTTTGTTAGTCTTAACTAACTAGACATGCAGCACTGTTCTGCCTCAGGGTGGCAATGGAACAAACTGGTCTACCCAGTTGGTCCCTCATACCCTAGCAACTGTAACTGTATTTCTGGGATATCTCTGCAAAAATTTACAATGTGCCGCAGCATATTTAATTAAATCTAAATACTTTGGAAAGAGTGAAAACAGTGAATTGTTTATTTTTTCTCAAACTGAAGATAGCAGAGAAGTGGAAGATCTAAGATACTGTCTAGAAAGACTGCATTATCAAGGTCCAGAAGAGCTTTTCCAAAAGAAGAAAATTAAAACAAACATCTTGCTGCTACTAAAGCATCAGCGCTACTACAGTGAGTGAATTAGCAGCCAGCCAATGCTGGAGTAGCCAGCCAACATAGGACCCCTGAATACCAGGGAGTATTTTGTACACTGGGCATGTCCATGCTTATTTCAACATGTTAGCGGCAAACCACATCCTGCACATTTTACAACAGCATGGCTGCGTAAGGGCAGGTGCTAGCTCATCAAAACCTCTCATCAAAAACGTATGGCACACTGTAAGGCACAAAAATAAAAGCAAAGGACCCATATGGTTCCGCAGCACAAGAATAGCGAAGTATTCTGCTTTTAAAAGTGGATCAGCTTGTCTCTTCAACACTAAAACGAAATTAAGTGCTGATAAAAGGAAAGCTGGTGTAACTCAATGGTAAACATGCACCTTTCTCAACTTCTTTGGAACTCGCTGAAGGCATCAAATCTAGCATTAATGTATAGTTACAAAAAAACATGTGTTTCAATATAATGCAGGTCAAATATAATTTACTAATCACTGCTTTCTTTTTTATTAGCATAAAATATCACATACTGCCTAAACTTTTGGGAACTGAGGTTTAAACAATTTTGATAGGTTTATTTTAGACCAAAAGGATCCAAAAAGAAAACAGAGTAATACCAATTTCAGTTCCCCTGCTGATAGTTTCTGGATGCAGTGAGTTGTATAAATTACTCAGGATGGAGGACGGGTTTAAGATAATCCACACACCTCTAGCCTGCACTAAGGAAGCTTTCACCAGCTGGACGATGCTCTAGACCTTGTCTGAATTCTCTTTGCACCCATTCAGCTGATGGACAGAACTAGTGGAGGGGAAAGGACACACATACAAGCAGCTGTAGGACAGAGAACGAACACTGCTGACGGGCCGGTTAGAAACGTTCAGGAAGGAAAATAAACATGAGGAAGATGGAGAAAAGGAGGATGAGTGATTAATGTGTATGATCTCTTTCTCTGGATTAGCGAGGTTTTGTTTTCCAGCATCAATAATCTCGTCCATCTACTCTCTCTCCATCATCCTGATGGATGTAACTCTGCACCCTTTATTCCATCTCCCCTCTTTTAACCCCTCCCTCTCTCATTCCTTCATCATATCCACCTCCTCCACAGTCATAATCCTCTTCCAGCTCTCCATTTCTCTCTCTGCTGTTCTCTCAGGGTTCCTCTGCACTATGGTTGGGTGGTGTAACAGTAATAAGGTATACTGCAATACTTCAAAATGAAGAAGGTATTTCAAACTTATGAATTTTTATTCTACATCTGAATGGCTTAATAAACAAATTCCACCCATGTATACCTTAGAGGGATCAATGATTTGTTTTCTGACGCCAGTCACTCTTCTCTGCGCTCTCAGATATCCTCTAAGTGGGGGTCATTTTAGCATCATTTAGCTGTAACCAAGCCTGTGCTGTGTGGGGCGTTTGTCCTGCTAACTAAGGTAACATTAGCTTAGCCAAGACCCTGCAGTCCCAGACACAATAGAACAGGCTTGATTTTGGTTTTCTGTCACTCCAACACCAGTCACTCCACTTTACTCTCTCAGACATTAGATTTTACCATGTACACTTCAGCAGAGCAGCAGTTAGAATCAAACCCGTATTGTGGTGTGTGGGGCTGTTTGGGTCTGTAGCCAGCTCGCTAAACTAACGTGAAGTTAGTCAATCAGGCTACAGATCCAAACACCACAGAACAGGTTTAATTTCTCCTTTCTGTCACTTCAGCACTAGCCACTTGACTTCACTCCCTCAGATCTGAATCATTATTATCTAAACTTGTGTAAGTGCTTTAGCTAGCCAGAACAAAACATGTTCTGTGGTGAGCAGAGCTGTTATCACACTAGCTGAACTAATGCTCCTCTCTTCTAGTTAGCAGCGACGTTAACATGTAGCAATAGATTGGGTTTGCGTTCACTTATCTGGTGACCACGTAAGTGAACTAAACTTTTTGTGTTTTTTTTTATTATTATTTTAAAATAACGCAGGACAAGCCAGAAGAAGTAACATAAACGCTTTTATATCACTTAGTATTTTTACTCGCCCCTACACTAATACTGTATACCGTGGTAATATTTGGAGTTTGAAGGATACCAGCCAACACTACCGTGCACTAGGGGTGGGGGGAAAAATTGCGTCTTAGATGCATTGCAATGCAGACAATGGACGATTCTGAATCGATTCACAAATGTCAAAAATCGATTTTCTAAATTTTAATTCATAACATAACGTTGACGGAACGCAAAAGGCGGAACTGTGCAAAGTGCGAAAGTGCAGCGCCCGGACAGTCTGTGGTGTGCACACTATATTAAAAGCTAGTGCAGGGGTCGCAACCCAAATGCTAATACGGTCATTCCACCTTGGGAGCCACAACATTTTGAATCCAGTTCACCATATTGGCTGTACATGAGTCTCAGCACATGCTAACTAGTACACTAGTACAGGCTAAAAATATAATACAAACAAAAACGTAGACTTACTTTGCTCTGCTTTAAGCTTTAGCTCAGCTGTAGCAGCATTTCTTGTATTACCAGCTGGAAACTTTTCTGCAAAAGTGGAACAGTTTCTTGAAAAATGTCTCTTAATGTTCTACTTATTACGAGGCTGAAGTCACTTCTCATTCACCAGCTTTTCGTTCGAATTTTCCCGTTCCACCTTAAATGGTGCCTGAGGTGCCAGAATGTAACTGCTGCACCATTTAAGGTGGAACGGGTAAATTCAAACAAGAAGCTGGTGAATGAGAAGAAGTTTCTCGTTGCAGATTAAACATATCGGGAAACTAGCTGGAGTGATTATAAACGTCTATTCGTCTCCAAATTATTGATGTTCATCTCAAATCTTTCTCTTTGCCTTTGTACTAGCTGGGTGAACTAGCGGTTGTAGGCTACATTAACTCCAGCGTTTAAGATCATCTATTGTTAAAACTGTTTGAACGATCAGCAGAGCTTTATTTTACTGCAAAGGAGGATTATTTTATTATTACCTACAAATCTAATTCTGATGTGGAGCCGCAAACGGCCAGTAAAAGAGCTGCAGGTTGCCGACCCTTGAGCTAGCGTATGGAAGCACTTTGGCTTCTATGGAGCTGAAGGGGAAAACCATATTACGTTTCCACCCATTTTCCGTCCGGCAACTTTTATTGCCAAGGATTTGCATCCACTCTCATTCACGTTGAGAATCAGGGCTTTCGCGCTATGTCGCACACTTTGGAGCCGAGATACAGCGACCCGTCTCGAAAATATTTCACTGACACCCCGTATCACTGAAGAAAAGGGGTAGAATAACTGTAATCTGCTGAGCGGACACCCACTGCCACAGAATTTATTTCCCTGTAACTGAGCATTTTATCGCAGATGAGTGGCAGCCTGCATCTCATGTGCTCCAAACAAGAGCAGTGAATTAGAGCCTTCCAGTTGACTTGCCACATCACTTCCATTTGGTTTATTAATAAAAGATATTTGTAAATTCATTATGGACTATTATAAATACTTTGCTTTAAAAGTACCAAGTCATCACACGGTGAGAAAAAAATAAATCATAATCAAAATCATCATCAAAAAAAGATGCATCAAGGTGCATCGATAATGGTTTTATAATCGCATCGCAGCCCTCTGAATCGTAATCGACTCGTGAGGTGCTTAGAGACTCCCACCCCTACCGTGCACTCTTTAAAATAAAGGTGCAAAAACACCTAACAAATCTTTCCATGGATGGTAACTAAAATGGATGGTAATTAAACATTATAAATCTTGTCAGTATTTCTTATTATGAGACTGTTTGGAGATTATTATAAGATAATTCTATTCTACCTCTTGGTGGACATTTTAGTAAAATTATATGATCATTTTTATTCATTAAAGCATTATTTCTTGAAACATGCAAAAAGCCTTGCAAATTGAACATCATTTTACTAGATAAAATGACTTAAAATGAGTAAAAATGTCTTGAAATTGGTAATGATCTTATAATAATCTTATAATGAGAAATATTAGATATATTTACTGGACATAGGATGATTTCACTCGAAGATATCACTCCCTTGCAGTTTAAAAATTACCATGTAATAAGGTTCAATACCAGTTGAAGATTTTTTCTAGAACTCTCTGTCCAAGCCAAGAACCTTTACTTTAAAGAGTTGTGTCTCTTCAAGGTTCTACACCATCATTACAGTCAAAAAGGATCTTTCAGATTTATTTACCTCTAACATCTCAATTTTCCCGTCAGAATTCTCGTCAAATTTCTGCATGAACTCCTCCATCCTCCCTTTGAATGAAAAGTTCACAGGGTCCTGAAATAAATGATAGATATAATAACACTTATGCATTAATACTTTAAAAGTAGACTCAGGTTACTGTCTAACAGGTTCTATTTACTCAGTTATATGTATGTGGATTCTTCCTGCACGCCCCCTAGTGGTCATTCCTCAATTGACTCAATTGATCTCAATTACTTGATGTTATTAATTAATATACTCAAAGAAAATAACTTTCCCCATGTAAACTGGCATTAGATGAACTAGGACTGTTGTCTATGTGTTTAAAATGTTATTGAGATGCTAGCGAGCAATGAGTGGGGAAAGAGGAGGGGTGAGACCCCCCTGCTGTGAAAACAATTCCCACCTCTCCACAAAGACGGCCGTTCTGAGATAAAACAATCACAACCAATTTAATTTAATAAACCAATCACAATTTAATTTACAATTTTGTTAAGGAAAAATATCACACTAGGTCTTCTGGAAGTTCTAGATAACTGACTGTGAATGTAAGTCATAGTTTAAGCAGGTTTGGGTTAGTTGTTAGGAATAGAAAACAGTGGCAGCAGCTCTATGTCTCTACTGACTGTGCAACAATAGACCATAAAGGCCATGAAAAACTAGTTAAACAGTGGACTCACTGTGCTTATTCCTTTCCATGTTGTCTCGAGCTCCTCAAGAAAGTTCTCTAGCTCTTGACCCTCGATGTAGCCATTACCTAGAAAAGAGAAGATGCAAAACGTTTAGTTTACGTCACCTGATACCAGAGGTGGGAACAGGTCACTAAGTTGCAAGTAACAAGTAAGTTTTCACACTCAAGTCTCGAGACAAGTCCCAAGTCAAGATATTCAAGTCTTGATTCAAGTCCCGAGTAAGTACATGCGAGTCTCAAGTCAAGTCCTAAGTCAATAGTTCTAATCTTTGAGTCCTAAACAAGTCAGTCTGCATTCATCAGCTAATTTAAGGCCACAACACTGAATAATGGTAACAGTACTGTAACCTTTAATGACAGCATGTTAGCAGTGTATAGACCACTGTAGAGGTGTCGTCATTTTGTAGTCAGCGCCATGCTCCTACTGCCCATATTAGGAACTATGCGTCCAAGCCCCATTTCTCTATGGCCAGAATGAACAGGGTTTTCGAAAAATCGCTTCTATCACACCCTGTGTTAAGTAAAAATGTTCAGAGCCCAATATGTTTTATACCACTGGATCCTCTGAATTACAAGGTCCAGAGGTAAACAATCATGACTGCCAACGAACACCAGTCACTCCTTGAAGGTACAGTTTCATCTTCGTTAGCATCACAGGAGCCATCATGAAGCTTCACTGACTAACAGCTGGGCGCATCACCCAGAATGTGTTCGAGCTCGCTGTTAAAAAGGCGCAGTCACTTCTTTGGTTCGTATCCTCGGATTCTTTAAAATTTGCTTTCAGCCTCGTGTGTGTGTATATATATATATGTAAAAAGATGACTCTTCAAGTGTTCTTTAATAAAGGCAATAATTCTATTTAGAACCATGAGTTCTATATAGAACCATTTGGTCTTCAAATGGATGGAGAATGTGTTGTATATGGCACTATATAAAACCCATTTGAAAATGGTTCTATATAGCACCAAAAAGGGTTCTTCTATTGTAACAAGCTTGACATCATAATATTAGCAGAACCCTTTTTGGTGATTTCAAATGAAAGCATTCAAGCATGCAAATGGGTCTATATAGAACTCATGGTTCCAAAAAGAACCATTGCCTGTACTAAACAACACTTGAAGAATCACCTTTTTAAGAGCGTACAGGATGGAGCCTGGGTGTCAAGACTGGGTGTGGTCAGGGTGGGGATTCCATGACAACCGGGCTAAAATCATCATCATCGGCAGCAGCAGAAAGTTTCGAGCATAATTTCATGCCTTCAGTCTCTTGCTTTGCTTTGCTTGTCTATTTCCTTTCAAACAGACGTGGAGAAGCCAGCAGATAAGAACATCATTACTATTCTGGCAAGCCAGCTATGCAAGAGCACATCTGTGGACGAAGCATGGACAGGACAGGTCTGCGCTCTGAGCTAAGTGTGCACAACAGCCACTTTAACCCTTTGAGTTCTGACTTTAAGGAATAGGGAGTACAGCATAGGGAGCAGAGTGAGCACAAGCATGATGACTTCTGAACGTAACGCATTACTCTAAATCCCTCAGTCCCCAATCCCCCCAATCCCCCCAACTCCGCAGAGCTTATGGAAAAGCGAATGCATGCATTCATGTGTTCACTGCTTATGACCTAGTTTTCATTCCCGGGGCTGTGCGGAGATTATCTTACATGAAATATGAATATATATATTTTTTGAAATGTTCATTTTTCCTGTTCCTAACTCTACCTGTGCTCAGGTACGACTGCACGGATGAAGACGCAAAGCAGTGCACACAGCTGCACTGAATATCTGCTGTTGTGTCATTTGTGTCTCTTGTGATCAGCTTTCTGTGTAGATTTCACTGAAAGTGACACCAACACAAAGTCAGATTGTGATGACCTGAAATACATTGGAGAAGCTGAGCTGGTAAAAAAGGAGAAAGGGAGGAGAATGTAAGTCCATGGAACCAGACATTTTTTGAAGTAACAGGCATTTTCAAATTATGTCAAAAACTGAAAAAAAAAACATTTGAATGGAAGTTAATGCAACAAGAGCTATTTCATTTATTTTGGATCATTTCCATTGATCCATTTTATATACATTGTAATGGGTAACAGCCTTTTTTTAAATTAGGTAAAAAACAATGACAAAAATGATACAAGGTTTTGTTCTGATAGTGGTGATATGTAAGCATCTATATATGGTAAGAATTTCTGAAGCCTAAACATGTTTTCTCTGGCTTTCTTACAAAGTCAGTCCATAAAATGTACAAAAACAAGCACACAAACAAGCCCAGTGCCTCATCCACAGCCTCTGAATGAGCAGCTGAAAGTGGATCTGAACTCCTTCACTCAGAAAATTGATGATTATTACTGTTTTTTTGCTGTTGTTAATTAATTAACAACAATAAAATCCTTAACGTTCATTTAACTTTTTGGGGTTTTTTTTTCTCAAGTGGTCAGTAACTATTTCTGGCTCGGTCTGTCTCACATAAAAATATCTGAAACGAGAAAATTTTTTATCCTCCACTTTAACTTCAGTCCCAGATCTTCAGTGTTCAGCTGAGTTTCTGCACCAGACCAGACTGGAGCAACCGAACAAACTCAAGCAGAATACATCACTTTACTCTCTGTGTTTGATATCAGAGGTTAGATGCTGATGTTGATGCTGATGTTGGTCAGAGCGTAACTCACCGTCGCTGTCGAAGTGTCTCCACACGTCCATGAACTGTGTGGCGGTGAGCTCTGCCAGATGCAGGTGCGGCGCAGACTGAGCCATCTCTGTCTCTCTGCTCTTCCCTCACACTGTAACACTCCTCAGTCCTTCAAACACTCTCACAACACTCTCACTATCAGCTCTGTGTTATTAACAAACCCCCCAGCATCTCCCTCCTCCTCCACTCACTCCACCCCCTCTCTCTCTCTCTCTTTCAGTGTGCCTGCAGTTCCACCACTGGCTGGCAGTGGGCGAACACAACTCTGTCTGACTGAGAGAGAGAGAGACTTTGAGTTTTAAGACGCCTTTAAACTTGTCTGCTTTAAATTCTCCACACCCTCCCAATGCTACACAAATATTTGCAAAATACCAACAGAATAGGCCTCAAATACTCCCTAAAACAACCGAAATACCCCCTAAACATCCAAAATACAGCCTAAATACACCTAAATATCCACAAAATGCCTGTAAGTACTCCTACTTACCAACAGAATGCCCCTGAATGTCCTTCAAATACCCTAAAACAGCCCCAATACCCCAAACACCCCCTGCATACTCCATTCCAAAATACTGTGATGTCAACAGAGAGTAAGACACAGGGGTAGCCATGCTTCTGCTGCAAGAAATGCTCTTTACTGGACACCGGCAGAAAAGGCACATAACAACACATAAACTAATGGGTGAGGTCACCACCAGCTACAGGCTTCACCCTGACAGTGACCCCCCTCTGTAAACACACACAAACACACAAACACACACACGACAGTAAACCTACAGCCCAACACAGAAATCCCTCTAAATATTTATTAATACCACCAAGTACACCGAGTATACCATAATACCCCTTAAATAGTCCAAAACACGCTCAGTTTACCCAAACGTATACAGTAAAATACCCAAGTGCCCTCAAAAACCACTAAACACTCCAGAACACCAGCAAATACCACAAAATACTCCAAAATACCACCATACATCCCACAAATACTCAAAAATACCCCCAAATATCCCTCAGAATACACCATATTTACCCAAAAGTATACAGCAAAATACCCCTAATACCCTCAAAGACCCACTAAACACTCCAAAACACCAGCAAATGCCACTAAATACTCCAAAGCACCAGCAAATACCACTAAACACTCCAAAATACCTCGTAACACCCCACAAACACTCCTCAAAAATACCCCCTAATACCCCTCAAAATACCCCAAATACCCCAGAAAACACCCTGCACTGACCCACACCCTGCACACACAAAGAATAAATTATCACAGTTTCTACAGTGATAAAGATCACAGACACTCTGCTGTTCATCAACACCTGAACTCACTGCATCAACAAACATCATGTTCTGCAACGTCTCCAAATCACTGAACAACATGAAAGCAAATCTTTGCTCAAAGGCAGCAGAGAATAAACACATGATCACTGTGTCTGGGTTAGTAAGACCCCCGCCCGCCCCCACCCCATCATATTTGTCCCATCCCATTTGTCCCATCCCAAATAGCCAATTTAGCCTGACTGAAAAGAAAATTCAGTAGACAACACTTAATCTGCCATGCAAGAGTGCAGCACGGCCCAGTGTGAACAAGCCAAGTGTGAACGTGAACATGATGTTCAGTTTCATATAGTATCTATGGAGAATTCAGCCGAGAGCTTTCTATAAATGTTCCACACTCTGCTCAGTTCAGCGCATTTTATTAGCCCCACTGCTTTACATGCGGTGCTGACGAGGAACGTATAAGCTGATGATGCAGTAAAAGAGGACAGTGGGCTACAACCTAACACAGGGGCCTTCTCATATTTACTATCAACATCAGCAAATATTCACAGTAACTGAGTAGATATTTCTTGAGATTTGCCATGAATACAATTCAAACAAAAATATTTTTGCTCCTTTAATAAATATTTTGACATGTGGGTGAAAAAATTGCCAATGTTTTTCACAGCCTTTTTAGCTAATCACCTTTATTTTGATCACCAGTCATGAACAGTCCAGTTTCTGTGTCTCTTCACCCACTGTAACCGATCAACTTTGTGAGCAAAGGCCTCTTGCGCGCCACTCTGCTCCATATGTTCATGGTGTGCAGTTCCATGCGGAGAGTTCTTTCAGAAATTGGTTGTGAAGAACCAGCGTTGACTTCCTGAAGCAATTCTGGAAGTGAAGCGATTTTTATTCACAAGCCATAAAACACGTTGGCGGTCCCTGTCCGTCATTTTCGTCCTTTAGCCACAATTCCGACAAGAATTTCCTGTAGACTGGGATTTCTGCCATTGCTGGTCGACCCATATGACCGTATGCTTTGATACACCTATTATTTCAGCTACTTCCTTCACACTATGGCCTTTGGCACACCCAAATGCAGTCACTCTTTTTTGCCAATCATTAACATCTGCTTTGTGACAAATTTTCTACACATCGAACGAGACATTCACTGCACTGTACCACCTCTTCTCAATCTATGAATCCCGTCGCACACCCAGCACGTATTTATAGTCTGGTCATCCTTGTGCAACACCATCTGCAGGAGCCTGAAGTTACTACCACTAAAAACCACAAGGTGACAAATTCTCTGTCCGGAAAGCTTATTTTTATGTGTTCGAAATTGTTTTTGAGTCAGCTGTTCTAGGCAGTGTTACAACTCGCCCCTCAGTCTTTTACACTTAACCCTTGAAAAGCATAGGCTTATAACATACTAATGCTTATTATTCAGTAATTACAGGGACTACAATGTAAACAAGCTGATCTGTCCTTGGGTTATAAAGGAGTGTAACAAAACTTTGGGCCCACCAGTGGTTAATCCTGCCTGTGGGGTAAGCTGTGACAACCGTACTTATCCCAAATTTGGTGCGAACAAATGGCATTTGAAGCAAAGTTTACATCTTCATTTGTAGCTCGGATGTGTAGGTTACTCGGATATAAAAATATTAAACAAGAAAAAAGAAGGGAAGAAAAGAGAAAAGCAAAGAAAAGGATGGAACAAAACTAAAGACAGAAAAGAAGAGGAAAGAAACAATGAGAAGAAGAGTGAACATTTGGGAAAAGAAAGTTTACATGTTCATTTGTACTTGAGATGTGTCAGTTACTTGTATATAAAAATATATAAATCTTACACACACAGGGAGTTTCACTCGAAAGAGGTCCCGAATATTCTGTAATAACTCTCGCCAGGATGAAGCGGTCTGAATGAAACAATGTGCAATGTGCACCTCAGTATATGGAGCTTCGAACAAGCCGGGATGCCCCTGCGTCGGAGCGATGAGGTAGGCACTGGACAGCCGTTGCGACATTTAACCTCAGTTTGCAACTTCCGGGGGCATACTCCCGTACCCCCTCATTTGTCTGGCAGAAAACAGAGATCACTTCCAGCATCGCATGTAATGCAACCAATTACACATACGTAAAGGTATGTAGCGTATTTTTTGGTTCAGATTGCTTCATCCTAACATATATATATATATATATATATATATATATATATATATATATATATATATATATATATATTAAAGGTTTCTATTAAAGGTTCCTGGTGGTGTCTGAGGATCTCTAACAGTATTCTGTGTTTTCCTGATGGGTTGATATCACAGTGTAAAGACTGGTGTAACAGATGTTCTGATTCCAGATGTATCTGATTGTTTCCTAATGGGAACTAAAGGTGTCCTACAGCGGTCTCTAAGTAACCATGAAGCCAATTCCCATTAGAAAGCAAAATCTATGAGATTTTAATCCTAATAGTTCTAATGGTGTTTTTTCAGCATGGAAAACACTGAAATGTGTTAGTTTGTGCCCTGCTCTCTCCTACGTTAAGTAATAAACACAAAAATAAAACATTCACTACAATAAATCTGATTGTGTTCTCATTTTTTCATTTGTCAATGTTAAAAAAAGGAGCGAGTGTCTGTGGCTAACTAGCCACTGTTAGCTAACGTTAACTGGCTAGTAGACGGTCATGCACTTAAATTCCACGCATGTTTATTGATGTAAAACATTCATATATTAGAGAAACTCAGAATAATCAGAATAATGAAATATCATCAAATATAACACAATAGATTAACACAAATACATTTCTTTAAAAAGTCAAAACCAAAGCAAAAGAATCTTGAAATGCTAACTTGATGCTAGCAATTAGGCTAATTCAATAGCTAACATAGTCTCTAGCTAATTTCAAGATGTCCGCATTAAAGCTGTACATGCCGTTATTATATAGTTGTCACCATATTAAAAATTTGATGCCACCACAGATGTGCAAAAGCACTTAAGCATCCTCTCTTGGAAAAATAGATATAGAGTACAGTGGAACACAAACTGTAAATAAAGGATTCATTGCTCTACTTGTGGCTTGTGTTTATGCTAACAGTATTTGTGTGCACAAATCATGACACATATATACACCAAAAACAAACAAACAGAGGAACAGACAAACCTCTTAGGATGAAATAATAAAAATGCAATTATAAACCCACCATAGATGGGTGAGTTATTCACTATCTCTCAGGCTGTGATCTAGTGTAAAGAAATGTAGCAGAAGTAACTGCAGCACAAGCCAACATGAGTTCATTTTCATCTTCTCTACTCATAAATTGGCATTTTTTATGCTCTTTCATTAAAAAAGAAGACATATTTTCACAGAAAGGACGGCTGCTCCACACCACTAGGTGCGGGTGGGCTAGATAATCACTTTGTATTATCTAAAAGTACAATATTAAAAGCATAGTACAATAATTGATATTTATATTTATAAATATACTGATAACATACTGCAATATATTTCATTTTCAAACTACGTACTGCTTATCTTCATATAGATGCTGTAAAGTGCTTTAATCCCAAAATACTAAAATACTAAAAGTGGCCAGTTAGTGGAAGAAGGTGCGTGTTTCCAATAAAGTGGCCGGTTAGTTGAAAAACAAGGTAGGCGTTTCTAATAAAGTGGCCAGTTAGTGGAAGAACAAGGTCAGTGTTTCTAATAATATACATGCATGTACATACATTTGCATGTTTAAAGTGCATGACTCAACCTGGGTAAGCTAAAGTAAAGGTAAACTTAATATTTGGGCTACATCTGTTTTGTTCATGCATGCAGCCTAATTTATGCGCATGAATGATTATCTTCTGTTAGTGTACTGTAATGTGCTGTAACACATAAAATGCTCTGTGCCTGCATCACAGCTTTCAGGGGTCAAAAAGTTATTGTTTCAGGGCTCAGATGGGGCGGATTCAACACAGAACAGCTTTGTTTTTCCCCAGCGTGCACACTAACACAGCCAAATTCACACTCACATGGCTGTGTGTGTCTCTCATCAGGGAGGGACACTTTTTCTCCATCAAAAACCCTGAGCCGCAGATGGCAGCTACCTTTGTTGTTATGACGACGCACTCCAGCAGCCAATCAGCTGTCTCCTTCCACTGCTCAAGCATACAGTAAAAGCATGTCCCAATGTTTATGTTTTTATCCAAAGGGATTTACACGTGGCACAGTACAATCTAAGCATACGGCCATGAAAAAAAAAAATCTGTAAAGAAACTTAACCCCTTGGACTCAGAGGAGAGAGGAGGAGAGAAAAGATGAAAAGAGAAAAGAAGGGGACAGAAGAGTAAAGCAAAGAAGAGAATGGGAGAGAGGAAGACTGAAAAAAGGAAAGAAACAGAAGAGAAGAGAAAAGGAGTAAATGAAGGGGAAAAGAGAAGAGGCACAAAAGGAGAGAAAGGAAGAGAACACAAGGGAAGACAAGAAGAGAGAAGAAGAGAGGAGACAACAAGACAGCAAGCGATGAGAAGAAAGCAGACAAAGAGGAGAGAAGAGAAAAAAAGAAGGGGGAAGAGAGGAAGAGAAGAGATGAGAAGACAAAAAGAGTAGAGATGAGAAGACAAAAAAAGGATAAGAGAAAAGAGGAGAAGAGAGGAGAAAAGAAGAGAAGAAACAAGATGAGAAGAAAAGAAAGGGAAAAGAAAGGGTAAAGAAGAAAAGAAAGGGAAAAGGTCCTCATCATGATCTTGCCATCTCATTCGAGAACTCTCTGATTGTCCCGTCAGCAGAGGCGAGAAGTCTTGGTGTGGTTCTGGATGGCCAGTTATCGTTCTCGACTCACATTGCGAACCTAACTCGGTCATGCAGATTTCTCCTGTTCAACATCCGGAGGATCCAACCCTTTCTCTCTCGAGAGGCCACCCAGGTGCTAGTGCAGTCTCTTGTCATCTCAAGGCTTGACTAC